ACAACAATGTATGGGTATTATATTATGTTATATGTCTATAACATTTATAATAGTTTTAGCTTGTGAAGCGATAGATCTAGATATCTCCTGACTCCTATAGGTCTCTTGTAGTCAAATATATCAATAGTTTGGAATGTTTCACGGGCGTAAACATGATCGGTTATGGGGGGAGGGGGATAGATCACTTCTTCATTTTTTTTTAATTAACTGCCCATCTGATTATCGTTATTATATTGCAGTATTGATGGTTTATACCAATGTTCAAAATATACTTTATTTAGTATATTTTATGATATAAAAAATACTCATTTAATAAATACTAGTAAAACATATTTCACGGCACTAAAACCAGAATGACGTCTAGGTATAATGTAAAAATCAATGTTGCAAAGTAACATAATATGCGGAAATCAACATTTTCAAGGATAGAAACTTTCCTAAATACTGGAATAGATTCCATTAAACTACGAGACTCATGATATGTTTCCAGACATATAACAGTTACTGAAAATCTCTTACACGCTTTACACGGTTCCTGTATCAATGGCTACACCTGAGTGGATGTTTTCTTGACTTAAAAAGTTGAAAACATATTTAAGAAATACCACGGGCGGGATGTAAGTATTTTTGTATTCAAATTTAATGGGTAAAAGTTTACTAGATAATTTCAGTTTCTTACAAGCTATACTGTCTAAACTTTACATAATGATTTATTGTGATCTGTGCACTGATGCGGCACGGTGGTTGTTCTCAGTAATAAGACGTGTTTTGAGTGCAAGCACCGGCCGGTGTCACTAATTTCCGGATGGGTGACCATCCGGGTTTTAGTGACGAATCCTCGCCACCCATACATGTGTTCCGAACCAACCGTACCGCCCTACAAATGCTAATGGCCATAGTTGCCGGGCTTAAAATCAATAAAAAAATTAATGAATAATAATTATGATCTGTTTATAAAGTAAGTGTTTAAATTGCTATAAATTATATTACTGAGCGGTTGTAATATTATGATAAAGACCTATATTTCAGCTGATTGACCATGATGGCAGTGCATAAATAATTACTAACAATATTAATAACTTAAAACAAAATATTTGATGGTCTATTGATTGTATTTCGTATTTTGCAACAGTTCGATTCTGTTATAATATGTGTTATGAATGATACACGAATTCACCGATATGCCATCGGTTCATTTCTGTAAAATATAATTGAAAAATAATTTCATAATCCTCTCCTTCTCCCACGAGGAAACCTACTTACCTTTATTGGTTTAGGTTTATTTTTGAAGCAGTGTACTTCTGAACAACTACTATACATTTATACAGGTAAAATTCGCTAAGACGTTCATCGTCCGTTGTTAATATTTAATAATTATTATATTGATTGAAATATACCAGAACCGTGATTATTTAGACTATAGCCTAGCTCTATGGCCATATTGGCTATTTCAGTAACAACTATGTACCAATAGTTTTACACTCGATAGCGTTTACCTAACAATTTCAACATTACTTTACATCCACCGTGAGCAATGCACCTTGCTTTTAGTACTTATAGATTTTGTAAGGATACCATGCCTACCCCATAATATAAGTATTTGCATATTTGTGCGAATCATGTACTATAATATGAATACAAAGGTGGAGTTTATCGTTTGCGCATCATTAATCATCCTATTGCAGGTAAAAAATGTGGTCGGTCGTTTGCGAATCGCGTGTTATACATACGTAACGATTTGTTATTTTGTTGCGAATGGTGTAAATAATGACCGATTAACGACTCTAATCAAACTTAGATACCTAATAAAATTGTATTTACATTATATTTTTTTAACAATAAATATGCGCAAACGGCCTGTAAAAAAGGCCATTCGTAACAATTGCGATGCGCAACTGTCTTATGTCCCAAAAAGTGAAAGTGGGACAAATTTCCACCCAAAATAACGCCACGGACATCAAATAGTAATTAATAGTCATAGAATATATTATATTTATATCAAAGCGAATGACTTCTGTTTAGTTTATTAATACTTTATTTAAATACAAATTATACTAATCGTACCTACGTAAACATACATTTATATAGTATACACTTAAGTTACTAATACTTTGTAAGTACGAATGATACACTTATTGTATACTATACTGTTATCGAATATCGAGAAAATAGTACGTGTATATTACTTTATAAGTATTATATATTATACTACCAATATTTGTTCTGCTATCTATATTACCTATGGTATCTTAATAAGTTTTCATAAAAATAAATATTTTTTTCAACTGCAAGAATGTACGAAGGAAATATCTGCTCCGCCAATCATATGTTCTATAAAGAAAATAATGGCCTTAAAAAACTTTATAATTTTTCATATACCAAACATCAATTCAACAGCTATACATCATGATATAGTATTTCGTACTATAGTCAATGTATGCAAACTAACGAAAAATAATACGACATTAAAATGTTCTGTAAAAAAAATGTTTGAAACCATGGACATTATTATGCAAAACGATTAATGTTCATTCGTAAACTTATAGGTACTTTTCTCGGTGGCGTCGAGGAAGAAGAATGCTGAAGCTGTTCCCGCGGCGTCATCAGTTCGAACAGAAAAAAGAGATACTTACCTGCTCGCAAGAATTTCGTGAACAGTAACTTTCGGCAGATAACGTCTAGGCGGTACTGCACGCGGTAGCCGGTAGGTAGCAATATGATCGTCCATTTATTTTATTATTAAATACAGGACAGTTAGACATTATGGACTATACGGTAGTTATATAGGGTATTATGAGGCCACCATAATATAGGTGTATAATATGGCGTTCGACGGTCGATCGCGAGGACGTGCTCACGGCGGAAGAAGACTTTGATTATTTAATCTTCATCACCCCGTTCAACCGTCGGACCTAATTTCGTAACGTTTCCTAGACCAAACGCCATCGGCTACTGTGTGTCATTACACGATATCCGACCAATACGTGTTTTGATACGTCCATTTGCTGCTGATCATTATTATTTATGACATTTCACTGCGCCGCCGTTACATATATAATATATGTATATATATATATAGGTAGGTAGGTACCTAAGAACTACACTTTATAGTTTATACCTTTATACATATGTGTGTGTGTGTGTGTGTGTGTGGGAGACGCGTGTGTGCAGTCGGTGGCATAATTTATGTAATGTGTGTGTGTGTGTGTGTGTGTGTGGCGCACACACAATGTATATATAACCTTTTACGACGGCGGTCAACACAAACACTTGTAAATATTTAGACGTCATTTGCTTGGCAAGCCCTCCGCCGCAGTGACCGCGCCGCAGAGCGGTCTCGAAAAATGTAAATTTCTGTCGACCAACACGTATATTATACAAAACGCTTGGAATATATATATATGAGCTCGTAGTTGGCACAGGAGGATGATGAGGTGGAACAGTTTGAATAGGTTGTGGAGGTATAAACGGTGAAGGCCTAGTGAAAGGCTGTAGACGAGGGTTGGTCGGGGTGTGCTACCCGTATTATAATAAAGCGAATATAATATAATACATATATAGCGAGTATAATGTATATGGTACTACTTACTTACCTACAGCGTGCAACTAGAAATGCTGAAAACACGATTTGAGTCTGCGTATAGTCGTGGTATGTGGATCATCGGTTGAACGATAATTATTATTATACAATTCTGCGATAGTAATAATAATTAATTAGGAATATAAAAATAAAATTATAATCATGCGATGGCCGCTGATCACAAATTAACCGATCATACCGCCTATGTAGTGATATTTCATTTTATTGATAAGCAATATTCATATTTATATAAACTTGTTTACCGAATTTTAATCGTTGCGTGTCCACTACCAATCGAAGGTTTTCCGATGTTTTGGACTACAATGGAAATAAAATTATTTTTAATCTATGTCGTGTTCTAGATACCTACTCACATGTACAAGTCGTTGAAACTACACAAGCGCACTATTGATAATACGCAAAATTTCTTACAAATATATAATTTACATAATAATATGTCACACTGTACGTTTGTATGAGTTTATTTGAATTTATTTATTACAAACCTTGAACGAATGTGTGTCAACAAAAATGATATAATAATAATGCTAATGTATATACTACCGCTAATCAAGAATCAGCCCTCCTAGTGTAATAGGAATGGTGTGAATTGCCAACGGGTCTTTCTGCTAATTCTTAATAACACCTACATTATTCCTACTTATTTCCTTTGTATTCGTATTTTTTTTTTAATTTTTCGATGTTAAATTGAGATAGTTTCATTTGCTGATATTATTAATGCAATTGTTTACCGTACTTACTTTTTTTTTTATTGTTTTTTTTATCAATGAATGTATCCGTACTTAAATAACAAAATAATAATAATAATAAAGCTTGTTGAACGCTACTCGATTTTTAACCAGTAATTTTCCGTTTATCCAAACTCATATATAGCTGACAATCGGTGGCAATTTCGCCCTCAGTCGGTTTGAAATAAGTGTACCGTAATACCTAATAAAATACGGTTAAGGGAGGAACGGCAGTGTGGAAGCCGCGAAGGGTTATAAGAATCACTTCCCATCCCTTATTATATACCGGCTAGGACTACGACGTATTAAAAGGGTCTTTCTTGGGTTCGAAATCCACCACCCTATCGTCGAGATGAAGCGGGGAGTGTAGGACGGACGGGGTGGAAGGGTGACTCCACACACTTATTCCTGGTAAAATCAACCTATTTAACCATATTATAAGTATATATATTTTTATAGATTATAGGAAAACCAAACTCGCACACTGCGTATACAAAACATGTTATTTCTAATCAATCTTTATTATTTTTGTTTTTATTTACAAACTTATTGCTCGTTAAAACATTATATAATAATTTTGCTAATTATTAATAATATATAATATATAATTATAATTGTTATTGTTATACTTATAATTATATAAATTTGTTTGTTGATACCAAGTAGTAGTAGTAGTAGTCTTCCACAATATCTACGAGGTACTTTTTTGTACTATCGATATTTGTTTTAAAATAAATCAAAAAAAAAATTATAATAATAATAAACACTTGGCGTAATAACACATAATACTATGGACAATTAATACAATTTGATTTGGAGAATAGTAACAGAATTGTGTGTATATGTGAAAAAACTTAAAAAATTCGCACCGAGGACAAAGGGCGATAAAAAAATAATAATTAACGCGTTCGTCTTACCGCTCTAAACAAAAAAAGATCTACTTAAATACTTAAACACAAAATAATATTACAGTGGGGCACAAAAAAAAAATATCAGTTTATATATCCAATATAATATTATCATACAATTATAATATTATATAGTTAATAGCAGGTACGAAACAAACGAATGTCATAAGTAATATAATAATAATAATTCTAGAGCGTCGTCGTGTGATATGTAACATGTGGGGGATATGTTTTAACTAATGCAATATTGGTACCCAAATCAAATGAAAATAAAATATTCAACAAATGAAAAAAAAAATGTATAAAATAATAATAATAATACATATATTAGGAATATTATAATATTTAGTGTAAGAGATTGAGCCATCAACAAACGACGCAACAATGGGACCGGGGAATTTTTTTTTTGAGGGAGGGGGGCCTGGGTTAGGATAGGACTTACAGTTGGTTTTTTGGTGCGGGTTGCAAAATATATTAATAAAAAAAATTCTTAACAATATTGTAATGCCCCTGGATTTAGGATTATTATTATTGTTATGTACAACATAAATTATAATATGGCCGGCCAATCTCGAAAAATGTTTTCATTAATAATCACAGTGCCGGAATGCCGGACCGGTCAGGTTCGGAAACATCGACACGATAAAAATTATCGGACGAAAAAATGACCGAAATAGTAAATCGATACAAGTATATAAATAGTATACAGTACCTATACATAGTGAAACGTTCTCAGACGTGTGTCACACGGCGGTAATAGCAATGATCCGCGGTGGTTTGCGCGACACGCAATGTGTGTACGGAATGTTGTTACGACCGAAATTAAAAAATGAATGGAAAAAAAAAATTATAATAATACAATTTACATTGACGGTGCCGTCGCGTCGCCTACTCCCGCGCCAAGATATATTTTTTATCTTGTAAAAAATGATGGTAATACGGAGTGGGGGGAAAAACGTACAAATTTTTTTTTTTTTTGAACGCGACTTACGTGATGATCGCATGCCACACGTACGGTCGAGTGTTTTTTACGATTGCAGTTCGTCGGCCAGTGTGCCGGAGTGGTCGTGCCAGCGGCCGGGCGCCGCGTCGGCCATCGCCTTCTTCTTCTTTTTCGTCTTCTCCACGGCGTCCTCGTGCGTCTTCTCGTGGTGCCGCTTGTGGTCCAGCCGCACGAACTTCTTCTCGCACTGCACGCACTGGTACGGTTTTTCGGCCGAATGGCTGGACATGAAGTGCCGGTCCAGGTCGTTCTTGAAGTTGAAGCTCTTGGTGCACACCGTGCACGGGAACGCCTTGTTGCTGTCGTTGTGCCGGAGCTCGTGCATCTGCAGCAGCTTTTGTTCGCCGAACCGCTTGCCGCACACGCCGCACCGGAACGGCTTCTCGCCGCTGTGGAACCGCTGGTCGTGCTGCGTCTTGTAACACTTGTCCGTGAAGTCCTTGTTGCAAATGTCGCACGTGACGCGCGTGGCTTTCCGGAACTTTTTCGCCAGCGCCGAGTGCGACGACGACAATTCCGTGCAGCTAAAGGCCGGCGGCGAACCGGTGTCCAGGTCAACGTCGCTGTCGCTGACCATCGTGTCGTCGTCGGTGACTGCGGTCTGATGCACCGGCAGCGGCAGCGACGGCGGCGGCGACGACGGCGATATGGGCGCCATCACCAGCAGGCCCTGGTACTGGGGACGATGATGGTGCAGTTGCTGGTTTTGGAGGTGATGATGCAGGTGATCGATGCTCGAGTCCGGGCTGGCCATCGGAGTGTCGTCGACGTTGTTGTACTCGAGTTCGACGGGTTCCTGTTTGATGTTGCGCTGCTGCAGTACATGCAGTTGGCGCTGATGGGTTTGCTGCTGCGGTTGTTGGTACGGCGACGACGGTGGCACGGTCGTGGACGACGGCTGTTGATAATCCATGGTTCTCTGGTGGTGGTGGTGCTGCGGCTGGCCGTGGTGCGACGGCGGCAACTGGTGCTGATGCGGATTGCGGACGTTGTTGAGGTGGTACGGCTGCTCCTGCGGCTGGCGATGGTACAGATGGCCACCACAGCCGTTACTGTCGGGCATAGTGGTGTACAAATCCGTGTTGGTAGTTGGTTGGATCATAGAAACCTGGGTGGTGTATGGCTGGATGGTATCCGTGATCTGGTGGTGCAGGTATGCCGAAAGCGCTTGTTGACCCGCCGTCGACTGCCGGTGGCCGTGGAACGACGTGGCCTGGTGGCGGCCCACCATACGGACCGCCGTTAGGTCCGCCCGGTATTTGTTGCTGTTGCTGTTGTTGTTGTTGGGATAAGAAGAAATTTGCATCTCGTCCGTGAAACCGGCCGTACTGCTGTTGTTGCTGTTGCTGCTGCTGCTGCTGTTGCTGACCGGCCGACGGGCCGGTAGGAATTGGGTTCCCCCCAAACTGTCCGAGAGGCTTGCTGTCAGGTTTGGGGGAGTCAGCTCTAAAAAAGAATCGGTGTTGAACGATGACGTAGACGTGACGGGGCGGAAGTCGGCTGGCATCATCATGGACGACTGTTGCTTGTGCAACGACGAGCCGTTCTGCTGCTGCTGCTTGAGCTTCTGTTGCGCTACGTATGCCGGGTCCCGATAAGGGTGATAGTGATGTTTCATGGGCAAAAGCGCGGGATCTGGTTTGCCGCTCTGCTTCACCGCGTTCTTGTGCAATTGCGTGCCGTAGTGCCGTTTCAGATGACCCGAACTGGTGAACCACTTGTCGCAAGCGGGACACTCATAAGTCTTGGCGCGCCTCGCCTCGTTTGACTTCCACGATCCGTTGCCCTTAGTCCCGGACCCGGACCCGCCGCCGCTTCCGCTTCCGCCTCCGCCGGGCTGTTGGTTCGAGTCGACCGCGTACCCGCCACCGTCAAAGTTGCCCTGGTACTGTTGCTGTTGTTGCATGTCGGACGGCGGTGACCCGCCCATCATCGTCGGCGGTGTGGTGGTCGTGGTCGACACGTTGTTGTAGTCGGGCGACAGGTGTTCGCCGGACAGCGTGTTCTGCTGCGGCTGAAAGTAGCCGGGCCACTCCACCGCCGGCGGCGGTGGTGGCGGCGGTTGCGGCGGCCTGTCGTAACCGGGGGGCACGACGACGCCCACGCCGCCGTGCTGCAAGAACCCTTTGGTCGTGTCCTGTTGCTGTTGCTGCTGCTGCTGCTGTTGCTGTTGCTGCGACATGACCTGTTGCGAGTCTAAGTCCAGTATTTCGGTCTCCACTTTGGGCGACACCTGCTGTTCCTTGGCCGCGCACATGCCGCATAACTTCTTGCCGAAGTGGTGGCCACTGCCGATCACTGACAGTTCGACGTAGCACCGGTCGCACCGTTCAGCGGGCATGGCGTGCGTAACGCCGGCCGAGTCGTAATAGAAGCCCCCCAACCGGTCAGGGAACATGGTGTTCTTGTACGACGGTATGGTGCTGACTGGTGGTATGGCGCCGGGAAGCTGGAACGAGTGCGGTCCCGTCGCCATCGAGTGGTACAACGGGAACTCGGACGCGTTGCTTATCTGCATCTCCATGATTACGTGTGCTGAAAACGAGAAAAAACACAAGAAAACGCGTTAGTTATAATTATTGTTTGCACATAGAGCAAATGTTATCGGACACGCCGGTTAGTGGGTTGGTGGGTGGATAGATTAGCGAGTGACGCAGAGGCCGTATCGCTGTGCGAGATGTTCTACGACCGTCATAGCGAAACATCCAGTTACACAAATCGTAGCGGTTTCGCTTTTTAGGAAAACATGATATTTAAATTCGTATTAGGCAGAGTGTACCTATTGACGTACACCCCGTCGGACGTCCCTTTGAATGCGGCAAACGCGCGTAAAATATAAATAATAATAATAATATATAGTTATGTACATAAACGATAATATACAGTATAATACAACGTACGAAGTCGCGACCCCTCGTCGCGGGCGCCGCCCACCCGCTGTGACAAGTGTACACGACCTGTGTAATTTACGTACGTACACAACGCACGCACACTCACGGCACACAAACGCACACCCGCACACACAAACGCGGAGCCAATTAATCGGCCTCTCCACCCCTCGACCCCCACCGTGCGTGTATCACCTGTGCGCGGTATGCGTTCGTGTGCGGTGACATGTGTAACGTTCGCGACGACAAACGCTGTGAAATACAAATTACGGTGATAACAATAATAACAAACAATATCGTTACGACGATGTCACGACAAATCGGTATTTTTTCAAAATATTTATTTATCCCGGTGTGAAAATCCGGAGCCGCGATGTCCGCATACAATTCATTTTATACAACGTTGTCGTCGTCGTCGTCGTCGTCGTATCACCACCGCAGTCGCCTGCCGATCACAATAAATACTGTTAATAATAACAATAATATATTATACATTTTACGACTGCGTTTCGGTCGAGTTACGTTCAGACGTGTGTACTTACGCCGTTTACGACGGAAATGCCGCACTAAACGGAGGCACGGGGTATGTCAAGGTCGGGGTCGAGCGATAAAAACTTCGAAACACTCTCGCCGAGAGACGACGGTGCGCCCGCGATGTATTACACCCCCCGCCGCCGCCGCCGCCACCGCCCCAGACACTAATATTATTATTATTACGCCGACGTTTCTGCCGATAACGCGTAAACAAGACTTCCGATATTTTTTTTTTTGTGTTTTCTATTAACTCCTCGACGGTGCCTTGTGTTTTTACGTGAAAATAATATCGATTAATATCCCGTCGTAACGTCACAGTAACCGGCCATCGTAACCATACAACATCTAACACATTATTACCTTTTACACCGCGATCGAGGGAGGGGGGTGGTTCTTTTTTTTTATCTCAAACGCGTCGTGTAAAATATAACGATTTTTAATTACGTTTTTATGGCATTTCTGATGTGTGTGTGTGTGTGTGCGCGTGTGTGTGTGTGCCCGCGTGTGTGTGAGTGTGTGCGCGCACGCGGTTATTACGATAATTATATTAGGTATATTATTTTATAAAAAAAAAAAAAATCATAAACTATACCGCAGCGGAGTGACTGCGGTGCGCGACGAGGAATGACTCACGATAATCGACATACCTGTAATAACAGTCATCATAATAATAATATATTATATTGTGAGTAACTTTTTTGTTTAGAATCCCTCTCTCTTTCTCTGTTTCCATCGACGTTATAAATAATATTATTGTAATGCGTATTTTATAGGTTTTCAACCGATCGGCATCGTTATCGTACTGAGGCGTACATCGGCACACAGCAATATTACATTAATTATTAATATTTTTACGTAAATAATTGTGTACACTACGTCGTCCGAAGTGGAAACTCTGTAATTCGTTGCGAAGCGCAATGTTTAATTTTAATACGACCACTCACCCACCCACAATAACTCCCCGGTCATCCAAATTTAAGAAGTATCGCTTCACACATGAGTTCGGCGCCACTTCGACTCGTCCGTCGACCTAATAATTCGAATGACACACAAACAATGATCATAAAAGTAATAATATCATGATAAAAAACGGTCTGTAGACATACGTACCGGGCAGCAAGTACGGCATAGTCCCGCGGCCGAAAAACAGCGGTGGAGAGAGGCGAGAATTTGAAAACTCGCGTGTCCGTCGTTGGTATAAATAATAATATCACTATCAAAACGACAATGAAAAAACGTGCAATACGCACGTCGGCGAACTTACAGAGCAGAAAATCGGTCACATGTGTGTGTGGGTAATATTCACCTAAATAATTGGCGGCCCATATACCTATACGCGTAAGTCGAAACGACACGAAAACTGTTCGGATATAATATTCAACGATTTAATATCGTCGTCGACGTTTGACGGCTTATTACGATTGACTACACGCGCGCGCGTCGTGTACCTACAGCTGTATTAATAACTATACGTGTAATCCACACGAGTATCGGACGAAATAACGATATAATATTCGTGACCGCTAAAATGGACGAATAATAATAATAGTTAATACTGATATAATAATATTGTTATCGCGATCGATGTGTGTCGCTCGCCGATCGCGCTTTTATTGCTTTTATTATCGTCCGACGATGTGTGTAGGGAAATTTAATGCGTGTCCGATGTATTTTCGTCCAACAGAATAATATACAGCCTCGAATAATGTCGTACAATGTCACCACGGTTCACATAATACAGTGATAAATAATAACTAATAATAATTGCAATACTGTTTTTTGCCGAGGACTCGGCCTGCAGAAGTAGTTGACATTTAGACTAGGCGATTTTCGGGGGGGGAGGGGAGGGTCTTACGGGGCCTTGGCCCCGTCGAAACTATATATTTTTTAGATCGGTCTTCTCAACAACTATTTTATTTACCTCGGACAAAATATTTTCATACATAATCAATAGTAATTACCGAACAATATTAATTTACGTCTAACTTAAATCTCTAAACTCTCATCATATCTACTCACACCCACTAGACATAAATGAGACCAACCGACCGTAGAAGCAAATCGGGGAGCATACCTGCCTCTATGGGGATGAATATCATCTTCAGGTAGATACTGTGTAACAATTGTGATACTTATTATTAATTAGCATTACATTAATGTCGGGTTGCATAAACATGAACATTTATTGAATCAATAGTCAGCTAATGGCTCTGTTAACATGACTTAGTGGCCAATGATCGGTCCTTTAAATTGTATTATATCATTAAAAATTACCAATTTTTGGTGCAAACCGGCATCCAATTATTAATATTCGTAATTATGTAAATATTTTATTACCTATATTTATAATAAGTAGGCAAAACGTATATGATGTGTTTCTGATAAAAAAATGTTGTTCTGCTGTATTATATGCTGCATTATCCCACGTCCACATAACAAGCTAAATAATATTTAAGACTCCAACCCTTATATTTGCCAGGATCTCCACTTATACCGAGAGCATCGACGACGGGGAGATATATCTCTCTATCGTCGATGCCCACGGTTTACATATTATTAACATAATAATATAAATTATTTTTTAACGAATGGACGGTCCCAAAAGAAATTAACAAAATGCTTTGTGGGGAATACTCGTGAAAAAATATTTATTACAACGCCGATGACCAGCGTACTGTGGGTCTTAATAATATTGCAAAACTATTAAAAAAATTACGCGAATGGACAGTACTTAAAATTAAATAATAATAAAATACAACAATAATATGGACGACGATGGTAGTGCCGGAAAATGTGTCGACTTGTAAGCTGAGTTATAAAATAATATTATACTTACGTTATTAGCTTCTCCTTCGGCGTGCGAGCACATGAGAATCAGCTGAGCGTACTGTTTTGTTGTCGCTAGAGCAGTCCCGTAGCGGCGTCGGTGGTGGTGTGGTGGCGGTGGTGGTTGTAGTAGTAGTATTAGTGGTGGCGGTGTTGTAGTAACGACACTCGTCGTAGCGGTGGCGGTGATGCCGCGCGCGAACGGTCATCATCGGCGTGACGCCGGCGTGTCGCCGGGTGGCCGCCGCCGGCCGGGTAAAACATGTTTGGCGGGCGAAAACATCGAGGACAATTTTTTTGAAAAAAAAAAATTCAAAGCTTCCACGGGTGTGAAGGTGACGGACGTGTTCAAAATAAATACGGTCACGAGTCGGCGGACGACTGTTAAAAAATGTTTTCGTTTCTCGTCCAGCGAACAGATAAAAAAAAAAAAATAACCAAAAACGGAACCGATGATTTGACGAAAATAAAAAAAAAAAAAAACCGAAGAAATCGCGACGGGTCTCTCGGCGGTGTGTGGCGCGCGTTCGTCGTCCGTGCGAGCCGGAGCGCGCGATATTGTGATGTGTACTCGACGACACGGGGCAGCCGGTGACGGAGGTACGAACGGGGCGAAATATCGCGTGTGTATGCCGACGGTCGTGCGCGCGTGTGTGTGTTCACTACACGATGCGATGTCGCTCGGCGGCGGTGTTGGTAGTGGGGTGGTGGTGATGGTAGTGGTAGTGGTGGTGGTAGTGGTGGCGATGGTGGTGGTGTGAGAGCGCGCGGTGTGTGCGTGTGCGTGTGTATGTGTACGACGACTACGGCGGCGGCGGCGACGACGACGATGACGACGACGACGACGACGGCAGCGACGACGACGACGACGACGACGACGACGATGGTGTCGGTGGTGATGGTGGTAGCGGCGGTGGCGGTGGTGGTGGTGGTAGTGGCGGTGGTGGTGCGCGCACCGCCGATCGACAGGGTGCTGCGTGGTGTGCCTCGGGGGGAAACATGAAACGAGTGCCGACAGAGTGACCGAGAAGACTGAAAATTTCGAATGCCGCCGCCGCGTCGGTCCGCGGGCGCGAGCGTGGCGTGGAGCGGCGACCGGCCGGCCAACCGACCGACCGGCCGGTTGCCATGGTCGGGCGGACGGTTGGGGGGGGGGGGG